TCTCTTATTTTTTTTACTTCTTTTATTTACTTCTTCAGATTATATTCACTTATCTTAATAATTTATAATCTGATAAAATATATAAAAAGATCTTTTTTTTTTTTTTTTTTTTTTTCTTTATAATTCTTTTCTTTCTTTTTTTTTTAATATTACTTAGTCTATTGCCTGCCTACTTATTTATTTATTATTTATCTGCTTGTTTTCTTCTATATTTTCTTTCTATATTAATAACTTGTTACTATATCTTCTAGTTGTTATAATAATTAATCTATTACTCAGTATATTATTTAGTTAATTATTTTTTTTTATCTCCAGCTCCTGATTTAGCTTTTTTTATAATTTATATTTTAGCTCCTATCCGGGCTTTTACTGTTATCTTATTTAATAATATCTACAAGATTTTGATATACTCCGGTTTTTCTATTAATCTGACTGGAAATAATCTGTATTTTATATTATTTATAGATTTATACGAGCTCCGTGACCTTATTCAGTTAAAATATAATACAGCTAAAATTTATATTATATTTATTTTTATTAATTAAATATATACTGATTACATTCAAGATCTGCTTAATTAAATTAAACTAGAATTAATAGATAATACTGAGTTTTCTGTCTATCAGGATTTATCCAAGCCTGATAATTCTGCTAGTAATTTCTAGATTATTTCTAATACTGGGAATACTGCCGCGGACTTTTATATAATTTTATAAATAATAAATATTCTGGTTTTTATATATATTAGACTATACTAACTTCTAATTAAATAAATATATATATCACTTGATATAGCTCTTCGGGGTAATAATAACTAGTTATATAATTTTTTTTTATTTTTTATTATTTATCGTGGTTCTTTCACTGCAGGAGAAGAAGATAATATTAAAATAATTTATTATATTTTTTTATTTTATATTTAATTTAATAAAGATCTTTTTTAACTTTGATAAAAGTATACCAGTTCTAACTATAATTCTTTCTAAAAATTTTCCTAGATATAAATAGCTATAGTCTTTTAGAGAGTTTTAACTAACTTCCAGATACTTTATATATAATCTATTTATTTAATTAAATAATAGAGTTTTTATTCTTATTTTTTTAATTATTAAATTTTTTTTAAAATAACTTTTACCAAGTACTTCTTCTTTTTATTAATATAAATAACTGAAAGTTGCTAATTATCTCTCTACTAAAATAAAAGTTAATCTGTAGCTGCTGATTACAGTAAATTTATATAAAAGATATTATAAATTCTAGTAGATATATTAAAATAAATAGAATAAATTTCTAATATCTTAATAATTTTATACTTAGTATTCTTCCAATCCAGTTTCTTACTTGGTTAGTTAGTATTAATATTCTTTAGATTCAGCCAGACTATATTTCTGACTTAGTATATTAGAATAGATATTTATAACTTATTTATTTATCTTTCTATTTCTTATTAAATATATACTAGTAATATTCTAGTCTAGTTATTTACTTTCTTAATAGTACAGGCGATGTACTCCCCGATTTATACAGGATTCCAAGAAATTTTATTATATAAAATAAATTAATTTTTAATAAAATTAAAAGATAATAACTCATACCTGTAGCTCAGGAAGAACAGGGACATGCCAGTTAATATTAGAATATAAATATTAATAATTAATTCAGTAAGTAGAAAAAGCTAGCTCCAGTTATTTTAATTCTATTAAATATAGATCTGTAGATAGATTTTTATAATACTATTAATTTATTTAATAGTACTGTTTATTTGGAAGTAGTATACTATAGATAATTATTACTTAATATTTATTAATATATATAATCTTTTCCATGTTTTACTCATAAACTGTATCCTGCAGTCGGAGATAATAGTTTTTAATATATTATATTATTGTATATAGCTGTCTAGGATTATTTATACTAAATCTGTAGTTATTATTTTCTTTATAGCTGCTAGTACTATATTTTTTGTAAGCTGATTAGTAATAACCAGAATATTAATATAATTTTTATTTTTTAAAAATTTAGTAATAAAGTTTATACTAATATTCTGTTATAAATATTCAGAGATTAAAAGTAGCTTTAATAATCTGTACTTTTTTTTATATTAAGCTTTTATTTTTCTATAAATATTATAATTCTGTATAAACCTCTGTATATTTTATGTTATATTAGACTAGAAATACTTCTAGTTTATTATTAGATATATCTGTTCATGTTCCAGATACCCAGTCAGTGGAAAGTTATGGACTTTCTATATTAAATTAGTTTATAAGAGTTTATTATTAAAAATTTATCTTTATTTTCTAAAGATTAAGATTCTTTAGAAATTTATAATATATTCTAAGATAGAGATTTTTAATTTTAAATTAAATAAGAATCTTTATACTTTCTTTTTAATTATTTATTTAATTTTTTAATACTAATAATCTTGTTCTTCAGCTTTCTTCTATTATAATATAATATCAACAGGTATAAATACTAGTCTAAGAAATCTAATTTAAATAACTCTGTAATATTTATCAGATTAGAAGAACTAGAAGATTTATATTATAATTTATTTATTATAATAATTAGATATATCTTGATCTTTTTAAAAGAGGATATTAACTTAATTATTTTCTATATTCTTCTAGTAAATAAAGAAGAAGTTAAACTTATTAAAAAAAAATTTTATTAAATATATTTTTTAAATAATTTTTTTAATATATAGAAGTACTCCAAGTTCTTATAATTTATAATTACTTTAAACTCAGAAATAGAATATAATTTAATATCCCAGGCTTTTATATATCTGATAATAATTAATAATTTCTTATTATAGATTTTATAATTATATTCTGCGGGCGCCAGCTGCTTTGAAAAGTAAATATAAAAGTATAATTTTCTTTTTTTATTATATTAAAATAAATATTCTTCCAGATTATAGCCTGAGAAGTCTGTTTCCAGTACTATTTATTTATTAAAATTAAAAAAAATTAATACTAGTTTTATATAAAATATCTTTTTCAGGCATAAGAAACTCTCTGAGTATTTTTAAATCTACTAGAATAGTATATTTTTCTTAGTAAGGTCATGGAGGAGCTTAAATAATCTTAAGAAATTTAATATAAATTAATAATAAAAATTAATAAATCTAATAAATTTATATATTTTTTTTATTATTATAGGCGGTTTCTATTTCTGGATTATATAAATTTTTTTAAAATTTATACTTACTTCCTGTTTTATTTTAATAATAAATCTAAGATATTTAGTTTCTTTTTATTTAAATTTATATTTATTAATATTAAGATATAGGCCTGCTTTCTATAATTTAGTCAGGATTTTTTAGATATACTCCCGGTACTACTGGAGAGTCCTGGTTAAGAAAATAAGTATATTATTAAAATAAATAAAATAAAATTTATCTAAGTACTCTCTCAGAATCTAGTTAATATATTTCTGGAAGATACTGGGAATATTTATAAATCTGAATAAAATAACCAGTTATTTATAAAATTTATATTAAATATAAAAAATAATTATTTACTCCTGTTCCTTAGTAATATATATCTTATAAAAAACTGCAGATATATCAAGTTTAATAAATTATTTAACTTTTCTGATCTGGTTTAATATCTTATAAATTAGAGATAACAGATACTGATTTTTTTTAATAATAATATTTAATTTATAATAATTAATATAAAAACAGAAATCTTCTCCTGACTTCCAGACAAAGAGAACTGGGACTACAGCTAATAAATTATTTATCTAAATAAATTTTTTATTTAATAATTTAATAAATCTTTTTATAAAACCACGAGCTCTTCTTTAAATATATTATATAATAATTTTTATAAAAACTAGAGAGTCTTCCTATTCTTTCTTTTTAATTTAATTAAATAATTAATATCTAGTTTATAATACAGAGACAGAGTTTCTGCATTCTTTAATTTAAATAATTTTAAAAATTATTAGTACTGTTCTAGCAGTCTATTCTTTAGATTCAGTTTTAATTTAACATGTAAGGCTTTTTTTATATTTTTTAAAAATATAATAAATATTTTTATTTTTAATTATAATATTCTTTTTTTCTTCCTGATATATATTTGAAAGGCTGTGGCTGATACTTAAACTAAAGTATATTTAAATTATAATATTTATATTATTTTAATCTAAGTCTGGATTAACTAGAGATAAACTTAATTCCAGTTTAATTTAATTTTTTTATTATAATATTCTAGCCAGGGAAGGCCTAGAATAATATTATACTTTAAATTATAATTAAATATATACAGGTATAACCCGGATTCAGTATAAACTCTGATATCTAAGTATATTTAAATAATATAATTAATAATTTTCTTTCCTCTAATTCCAGATACTAAAATTAAAATAATTAAAGTTAAGTCCAGCTTATTCTTCCTTATATATTTTAGATTAATAATACTATATATAAAACATCTGGTATTAATTATAGCATAGATATTAACTACCTGGTTAATAATAGTCTCAAGAAGTAAAGGCTTAGAGTTTATATATTTTTTTTAAAAATTTTCTATTAAAAATAAGACTTTCTATTTAAATATTTTTATTTATAATTTTATATAAAGACTATTTTTTTTTTAATTTTTATTTTATTTATTATCTGAGATCTTCTCTTTATAATTTATAGAAATTACTTAGACTAAGAATCAGAGTACAGGTCTTTAATAATAATCTTTAATTAAATATTTATCTTTTCTATAATAAAGACAGAGATTTATTTCTTTTTTTTATTATAATTTTCTAGTCAAGATCCACTTCACAGAATGAGGATTATATTAAATTAAGTTTTTAAATTTAATTATATATTTTTATCTTCTATTATTTACTGTTAAGATAATATATTTCTAATCTATAATATCTTTTATATTATCTATAGGGGTTACACGAGGGTTCTGGATCTATATATATTATTAATAATTCTAATATTTTCTTTTGATTACTATTTATTTTATATTATAATTATATTATTAAAATTAATTATAATATCTTTTATAACTAGAGCTCTTCTCCAGGCTGACAGTAATCTATAATAATATATAATTAATTAAGTTCTCTAGTATTATAATCTTAGAAATATTTTTTTATACTGCACTGCCTGCTTAGATTAGAATAATATTAAAATTTTTTAAAAAGTCTTTAAAGTTCCTGCTATCTTATTAAAGAAAATATAATTTTTTTAAAATTTTTATTTTCTAGTTTTTATTTTTATAAATTTTATTAAGTTTCTTTATTATCTTTTTATAGGTAGCTGTACTGCTTATAATCTAATACTACAGCAGGATTTTTCTTTCCATGCTGTCTTCTAGTTATCTGAATATATAAGCTACTCAAGATACATCATCAGAGTATATAACTATATTTATAAAAAATTTAGATTACAGGTGTATTTTAAACTTTGGATAATCTTATTTATCTTATTTATTAAATAATTTAACTTCAGGATATAAGGGTCTTGGTTATAAAATTATATATTAGAAAAAAATAATAATATTATAGGATATATTATTCATAGCTTATATATTAATAATGCTCTGTAACTTATTAATATATTAATTAAATTATTTATGTTCATTCTATTAGACTTACTAGTAGAGATTCTATTATTTTATTATTTATTATTCTACTCCTTCTAACCTGTTCATGAGGTTGGTAAGGAATTATAATTATATTATATTATTTATTATTTTATTATTCTATTTTATTTTATTTATTTTATTAGTTACACGGTCGGGCTCTGTTCTGTGGATTATTTAAATAAGCTATTTCTAATATTAGAGATCACCTCTTGATTCTAAGAGTATATTACCTGTTAGATAAGAAGGAATAGCTGGTGTTTAAATAGAAGTCTCAAGGTATCCGAGGTTTTGTATATATGTTAGTTAGTCAGCAGGTGGTTACGAGGCTGGGTGGCCGAGTCTCCCAGTAGGGACTTGTCCCATAACATTTTAATATTATTCTCTAACTATATATAGAGACCGGCATGAGCAGGTATATAGAATATCTGTATAAATTAACTAAGTAATTAACTGTGGAGGGACAGTACTGTCTTCAGAATAAATATAAAGATTATTATTTAATACTATATAAGTTAAAGAAGTAGCTGACTAGGTATTTAATTAAATAACTTGCACTTCGGAACAGGTATAGAAACAGGTATAGTAATTACAAGAATATAATATCTTTTAGCAGATACTGTAAATATATCTTAATCTATATCTATTTATAATTTTATTTATTGTTTTACTTTCTTCTCTATCTTTGTGATAGGATCTACTTGTCAGGGTAGAAAGCCTGTCGACTAGGTAAGGAATCAACCACTAAACACTATATATTTATCTGATAATGACAAGGATAATTTATATCCACGAAATAGACTAATCCTTAAGGAATCAGTAGCTTATTATAAAGAAATCAATATTTTATAGATACCGGAAAGATATAGAACCATTATTAATAATCTTATAACTCTTATAACTATTATAATATATCATCCCGATAACTTTTATCTGATAGTTAGATTATTTTATTATAAATGGTATTCTTCTCCGCTGGGACGAGCCACCTGGTTCAGATGTTAGAGATAACCTTATATATTCTTAATTCAGAATAGTAAAGATCTGATAATAAAAGATTAAAAAACTCATGGAATACTTAGTATAGATAAGATTATATATTAATTCTATATAGCTTTATCAGTATTTAGTTATGTTTGCATAGATGGATCCACTGTAAAGAAATATAAATAATAGAATCTTTTATATTACTTTTCTTTTTTTTTTTCTTTATCTTATAGTTATCTTTTCTTTAGTCTCCTGTGATTATTTTATTTGTTTTTTATTATTATTTCACGTGCTTTTTGTTATTTTTATTATTATATATTAATTACTTAGTAATCAGGTGCTTCTCTGTATTTATTTCTTATTTTATTTACTCTTAGATTATATATTTTATATTAAGTCTTTTAATATGCCTCCCAAAGCAGCTCCTAAAAAGAAGATTTATATATTATAAAAATAATTTATCAAGGTTTAATATCTTTTTTATATATATTATCTTTGTATTATTAATGCTAATTTTAATATTGCTGAGAAAGTTTTTTATAATATTAACTATTATTGAAATACTTATGCTTCGGTATTATATTACCAGTATTCTAAAAAAAGAAAAATATATTTTATAATAAGTATTATTTAATCTCCTTTATTATACTAGATATAATACTAATATTGGTTAGATTAATACAGGAATACTCAGTAATACTTATAATTTTATTATTATTCTCAAGTAACAAGTAGAACTGATAAATATAAAATACTAGAATAAAAATATTAAGTATACTGTTCTTGAAGAGATATTGAACTTGATTATTATATATAATTATACAGAGTCAGCTCATGCTTGCTAGTTTAGTCTTAAGGGATTAAAGAAAACCACCTGGATATAAAGATTTTATAGATAACTAAAATAGATAGCTAATCAGTAGTATTTTAATAAATAAATATAACAGAATATAACTTATTTCTTATTATTTATTATTAGATTATTAATTTATTAATTTCTCTGCCCCCTGCCGGTGCTATCTCTGTGCAGTATCAGATATATAAATATAATTTTGTGATAGAATAACCTAGCTATCGGGATAAAAGTCATCGGGATGATGTATTATAGTAGTTATAAGAATCATGAGATTATTAATAATAGTTCTATATTTCTCCGGCACCTATAAGATACCAATTCCTCTGTAATAAGCTACTAATCTCTCAAGAATTAGTCTATTTCATGAATATAGACTATCTTTATTATTATCAGATAAATATATAATATTTAATGGTTGATTTCTTACCTAGTTAACAGGCTTTTTATTCTAA